AGTGTATGCCGCGAAAGTTCGGCCAGTCCTGCTATACGGCACCAGGAAACTGGGTCACATAGGTCTTGTTAGGCTCCCTGGCTGGGACCTCGGGATGATCGTAATCGATGGTTAGAGATACTGAGTGATATGGATGTCGTAAACAGTGGCGTTCGTGCATCTCCTCAATTTCTTTGCAACCTTACACCATTTTCATTTCGACTCCACTTTCAATTTTCTTTTCTCCTATTCTTCATCCAAATGGGCAGCCAAAAGACAGCAACCAAAACCGGTGCACGCAAGTGCTTGGTTAATGGTTGTTCAAACTGAAACCGATATATATATATATATAAAATAAATCAGTATGCCGTCAGACTTCCTAATTACTTCACGCCTACTTGCTATGATTCCATACACCTAAATAAACGGAAAATATAGCGACTATTCCCAATAACCCCAGTCTCTGCACTTTCTTATTCACGGCTTCTCTCGGTCATTCTTCAGACTTCTGAATAAATGGCGTTTAAGGAATTTGATTGCGGCGTCAATTCTGGCATTCGGAGGAATGAGTCCACTGGCGTCCAGCAGGAGACTCGGCCACGTAGGTCCCGGTAAGGTCCTTGGATGGGGACAACGAGATCATAGTAACCGGTTGGTAGGGGCCTGAGTGATATGGCCTAATATAGTTTTAAGGGGCACTCGTATATCTACTCATTGTTCTTGCAACCTATCTTCTCTCAACATTCCAATATTCCTTCTGGTTTTTATGCGAATGAAATGAGAACCGGTGCACGAATGTCCTCGGTAAAAACTGAAACTTCAATTTTTTAACAAAATATAATTTAGTAACCCTCACTCAAATGACTACAAATTCGTTCGCGCTAGTTACTTTAACTTTGCTATGACTTGCCGCATTCTGTTTCTATTTTATTCAGGCTTCAGGTATTCGAACAGCAAAATTGCCACGAACTGCACCCGTCGTTGCGTCCACACCTGCTAGCAGCAATCCGGGCGTCTTCGCAATTCCCACAACTGCACGCCTCACACGTTCCCGGCTGGCCGTATCTCGGCAACGAAGACGTGTTATTAAACCCAAGGTAGGTCAGTTAAAACGTATGACTAGCCTAGCCACTAGGGACACCCATCTGATGAATTAAGACGTTCCCATTCTCGTCCTCATGTGGTGTGGGTCCATACNCATACATTGCTAAAATGATGCAGGGTTATACCGATCAAATTGTCGAATGCTCTCCATGCCCATTATCCTTTCCACCTTTTCCAAACAACAGTATCTTGCGAGTGTTTCACCATCTACATGTCTTCTTACAGCATGACTTCCGATCAGGGTAATTTACTCCTCTTTACTATGAATCTCTCTATGTTGTGTAATCAATCGGAATGATAAAGATAGCATTGTGCTAGCATGTAAAAAACAAAGTATGTCCACTTTGATTACGTTAGTGGTATCCATGCTAAATCATCTATTGATGATCATAAGCAGTGGAATCCGAATTCATCCAAGTTGGAAAGCTATTCAGAGGGCTTATCACGCATTTCGATGCAAACAGTATGCACGCCGTTTCACGACTCGGTAACAATCATCTTCTCAATTTCCCTCTCTTTTCTCAGGATACACTGGCATCGGGCAACGGATCACCTTTGCTGAATCCTTTCGCATTGGGCGATGCAGATACCGCCAAACCAACCGCAGTTGAGCTTCAACTGTTGCGTACAATGCAGAAAAATATCCAAACATATTTAGACTCATTAAAGAAATAGTTTGATCTCTAACAACACGCCCCGCCTCGCCTCCTTCAACCATAATCTGGGAAGCATTTTACGTCTTTATTTTCTGTATTGTGTTCAACGGAATATTGTTCATTTGATAGGTAGTGTCATCTTTGACTAGCACATTCATTGTTAAATCTGACTCTTCAATGTTCTCTCGCATGGCTCGCTATGCATTGAATAACGCTTTGATCGTGATACATATCTGGTATGGCTCTTTACTGTGTTCCTGTCTAATTCGCTGACAGATTTTGTCCCTATTCGTTATGAAACAGGTAATAATGAATTGTTCAGTCAATAAATGAAAAGGATTCCGTTTGGGCGTTCAAGCTTGTTGAGCTCATGTTTCCTATAAGGGAATCGCTCATGTGACTGACCTCATATGATACTTATCGAACGGCGAACTTTTTTGTGTTTCGTTTGCTAATATTGGTCTAACCATGAGGGGCCGTAAGGTCATGTTCCCCGAACACACCATGTCATACAAGATTTTCCTCCAGAAATACGGTTTATTGTTGTTAACAGATTTGGGCATATGCGTACATGTCTTCAGTTATGGAGGAAACGTCTCGCATACGGAACGGAGAATTTAAACATTTTGCAATAGTATTTTCAACCCAGAGGTGTGTTAAGATTCCCCTCGAAACCTTGCCAAGTGAGGGAACTGTAAATTTATTTGTACAGATACATCCTGCAGTACAAGTTTCGTACTCCTGTCCTGCTGGAGTGTATAATATACACATTTTTTTGCTTTACTGCAGCTGAAGAGAATAGTCCGGTTAACAAAGTATTGAAAATCGGTTCTCGTAGCTCAGGTGAACTGAATTCTATTTCACCTGTTCGCCGAGCTTGGTAATTTGTTTGCAAACGTTTCATCACCCACCGAGGTGACAGCATCTATGTTTGAAGTGGCATTCTTCCGCTTGTATCCGTTCGTTTGCGTTCTTCTCCACCGACCATTTTTGTCCCTTGTTCTGATTGTGTTCCGTTCGGTTCGCCAATAGACTGGTGCGAAGGTCAAAGACATCAGTTTGACTTCGATTCATTGAAAATTATCGACCAAGCCCGGTCAAAACACGCCAGAGGATTTCTCGAGGCTTGGCATTCTTTAAACAACTCAGTCAACAGGCACTTCGACCTGGATCACGTGTACACACCAATGCAATTGAAGGATTAAATAACGCAACAAAAAAGGTCACGCCGTGACCTAAGAACGGACCGAAGCCGCAATCAGCGTGGAAGGACAACGCTCTCCCCCCCTCTCCCCCCCCCCCCCCTCGCAGTAGTTTAACGGCGAACACTATGAGAACAAGGGACAAAAATGGTCGATGAAGAACGCAAACGAACGGATACAAGCAGAAGACTGTCGCTTCGCAAATACTGATGATGTTGCCTCGGCCGGTGATGAACTGTTAGCAAACAAATTGCCAAGCTCGGCGAAATAAAGAATAATCTGGTTCCATCAATGGAGTGGGAAACATGATACGAGAGACGTCCCCAGTGTCACAGCTATTTCTTTGAGGGAGTACATCTAGCCTTTGCACAGCCAATTACGAACTGCAAGGCAGCAGCTTGCTTGTGTATAGTGGCCAGTGGCTCCTTGGGAGATTATTCTCCATTCGGTGATATAGCTGCAACTCGGGGGTCTATGCATCCTTTTCAGTTAAACAGGCTTCCTACACAGCTGTGGAATCAGGTGTCATCCGTTCATTCAAGAGTAGCTGTCTTTGCATGTAGTCCCGCCAAGGTTTTAAAACCTCGATTACTTTCAACCCGCCCGTCAAGCGGTGTGCCGGGGTATAGCTGCTGATGCATAACTCATCTTCGTGGAGCTACAGGTTTGTACACAACACAAGCTACGTCTCAGATGCATCTTATGCGTGCGACTCGCATATGATGAATGATTCGTCACCGTTTGGGAACCACCTGCGCGCCGTTACTAGACTTTATTCGCTGTACGAAGATTGATGGCCTATGAATGGTATGCTGAGTTTAGTTCATTTGTAACTGGTATCCCCTTTCCACGTCGAATGTGGCCAAACAAAATTGAGACCGAAACCGATGGAAGACTCGACCCAACCATTTCCATACCGTCGAATAAACGGGTGTTGATTCGGACATTATTTGTTCACTACATGTATATAACTGTATTAGTCAGAGGAGAGGTTATCGAAAATACTCAAAACACTTCATAGATATGCACATACGACGTCTCATTTTAGTTCACTGGTGAAATTTATCACCAGAACGATGGAGCAGCAATGGGATACCCCTTCAGTCCTCTGTTCGCCGTAAAATTTTTGGCAAATGAAACATACTCTTTGCTATTCGCTATGCAAAAGACTTCGTACGTTCCCAGTGGAATTTCGCAAATTAACCCCGGCAGTAGTCACCTAAGGATTTTATCCATCCCATCCATACTAACTATACTAGAAGTGTGTGATTTGGTCTTCAAAAATCCAACATGTTGCATCTGATTCAAGTAGTTCGTTGTACACTGTATCCCCAGGGAACACGAATTATGAAGTGTGTTATAATCTGCAATAAACTTGAATTAGACATTCCTCCCTTTAGGCAACAGAAAATAGCAGTGTTGCAAATATCGCAGGATTATTTAAAAAATTATCACGGCAATGTACAAATTTCAGTTGTCATCTACGATCAGATCGTGCGTGAGGAAAAGACCGATCAGTACGCGGATTGAACGGAGATTCTTGCTTCATGTGTGGAATGGATTTTCCGTTTCTATCCGAAAATGAACGAGAAGTATTACGCTCCTCACGCATCGCCGCAGTCGGATTCTGCCTCTGTCGAGGCGGGGATGGACTGAAGTCATCTCTCCGTTGAGGCGAAGAGACTGAATTATGCCGCTGCCTGGGTGGTGTTGGAGTAGAACCATGTCTACGTCGTGGAGGTGATCGAGTCGTATCGCGTCTCCGTCGAGGTGGAGAAATCAAATCGTGTCTTCTACGTGGAGGAGATGGGGTTGAATTACCTTTTCGTCTAGGCGGGGATGGGCTAGAATCTTGTATTTGTCTAGGAGGAGACGGACACCAATCACGTCTTATCTGAGGTGAAGGTGAGTTATTGCGTCTGCGTTTGGATGGAGAGGGCGAAATTTCTTGTCTCCCACGAGAGAGAGATTGTTCTGGATTGTGCGTCCGGCGAGGTGGAGAACGAGTCAGCGCGTGTCCTGAGCGTGAGAATAAAGACTCAGGTGTTCCCCCTTGATGCAGAGATAGAGGTGGTGAATAATTTCTTCTTGTAGAAGTAACTAAATTGTTTTCAGTTTTCTCATACGAACGTTTTCTCCTATATGGAGACAAAGATGGACTGCGGTTTCGAGTGGACTGATTTACGGGTCGGTCACTGTGTGGTTCTCGATAATCCGGAGGACTTCTTTTGCGGTGGTGCCTCACCGGCAGTCGTGAATGACCCGAGGATTTATCTGTCGTGTGACGGTCCGCTCTGCGCTTGGCTTTCTCATTCGCTAGTTTTGCTTGTTCTTCTTGAAGCTTCTGTAGCTGTTTCATTACTTCCGGACCACAACCGTGCTCACGAACGAACGACGCTACGGCATCTGGATCATCCGGCACTGTCGCACGTTTGCTCGATTTTCGTCCAGCATTCACGCCTACATCCAGAGTTCCGTCTTTGGGCACTTTGTACTGTTCCACATGGTCTACACGAATCACTCGACCAGCAAGTTTGATCCCATTCAAATTATCCGTCGCCAAGACAGTACTACGCTGATCTTCGTAGCACAAAAAGCCGAAACCTTTAGATTGGCCAGTTTTTCTATCTCGGACCAGATTGATGTTCACTATTTCACCATACTGTGAGAATACACAGATCAGATCACCTTCGGTTAACTCGTAATTTAAGCCACCGATGAAAATCCAGGCGGAGTCTTTATATTGTCTGTGCCAGGAGCTAAGCGTCCCAGTGTAACCCAGGCGCAGTTCTCGTTCATTGAGAATGTTCTGATTCTTGGTGTTCGTCAGGGGATTCATTTGTGCAGTGGCTACACCAGCAGCAGGACACTAGCTAGCTGCCAGTGGCTGAAATGAGAAAGAAGCGGGGAGGGGTACCATAATTTCACCAGCGATGTCAAAATACAATACAATAGAAAAATGAAACCAATGAAGGTTATCTACACCTTTTCCCATTCAGTCTTGGGTAAAACTAAAACATGTTTAGGCTGGACCCAAGTAATTCAGTCTAGACAAATTATAAACGAGTCAGATAAAAAAAAATATTGGTATGCCCTGAGGTGGACGATTTTTTACGATGGGTATTATTGCAAAGTTTGGTAAACGACCGAGGTGTAGCTGTCGTACGCCACGCAGCTGACCGTTGTAGTTTTATCAAACATTGCAAACTAATAGCAGAACTGCAAATGTATGGAGACCAACTGTGTTTACACATCCAATGGACTTGCCGTGCAGCGTTTTGATGAAATTACAACGGTCCGCTGCGCACCATACGGGTGCCACACTCTAATTTTTTCACAGAGCTTTGCAAAAAAATTTTTCAACATTCGTTAATCATGGAGTATTTCATTAGTTTTTAATCTGGCTGCGTTACACTAGTATGGCTGAGTTCTTGTGTGGAGGGAAAAGGACTGTTTGTCGAAGCTGAAGACTTGCGAGTTTTGGCGGAAGAGAAAAGGGCCTAGCTGTTATAAGACAGGGGGCATTCATCGAAACAGGAATTTGGGAACAGGTAAAAATCGCATGGTTTATTGTCACACTGTTCTTCCACCTACGAAAACTTCTGGAGTAGATATATCGTAATTTTGGCGGGGTTGTTGCGTCACCCACAGCGCTTCCTCGGCGCCTACAACAAACTCATTTCAAGCACTGACATTCATGAACCACGATCTTGCATTGATGGTGCTTGAGAATGAGTCGGTAGTAGATACCTACTCAGGGTGATCCTCGGCCAAATATATATGCATGTATATTTCAGACCGGCTTGAGAACAAGCATGATGCCAATGTAAAACAATGATAATGAAGTTACGGAGGGGTACAGAAAGATTACATGAAAATAGGGAGAACGGAGAATGAATGAATGTTTTGGTAGCTTCACCGTACACTTTTTGAAGATTGTTTTGTGTTATGGGGAACGCAGTTTCGCCAAACAATCCGCACAGCAATGGCGCCACTGACATCTATTCTGAGCCAACTCTCTCAGCATCTCTAACCATCGAAAATCCTAATCCCCTGGGTCCCAACCTGGAAGGCGGGCTGCACCAACCGAAGCCAGAGCTAAAGTTGGCTTCTTCAAGCCTCCAACCCATATCATGGTCTGCCCGCCGCGAAGCTTCTTCCAACCTTGCCCAGCACGTGCCAAGAGAGCACGGCGAGGCAGTCGATGGGCACGCATACGCAAAACATGACCGAGCCATCGGAGGCGGTGCAGAACGATTTCTTCTGTTAGAGAACGACTATCAGCACCCAGGACACGACGACGAGTTTCATCATTGCTCACCCGATGTTCCCACCAGACACGAGCAATGCTTCGGAGACATCGGTGGTCAAATACAGAAAGTCGATTAGCATCCTCCGCTCGGAGGGGCCAGGTCTCGCAACCGTAAAGCAGAACACTACGAACTGCGGCGATGTACACCCTACCCTTAAGGGACAGTCGGATGTCATGACGGTGCCACAGGTGTCGTAGGCTGACGAAATCTGCTCTAGCTTTCGTAATTCGTGATATAATCTCTTCCCAAACCCCACCTCCAGCTGTGATTAGGCTCAAGTCAAGTCAGTAGTAGCTTTATGCATCCGGATGGGTGTATTTTCAGCGATTACATCATATTTATGGATTCAAATTTGAAGTCATTACATAATGAAACTGAAAGCAATGCGGTGTGTTTGTCAATGAAGCAAGCGGTTGCGCAATTCTGTGGAAATTTTGTCCTTGTCTATAAGTAGACGTGCTACATACGGCAGAACAGAATTTCGATAATCAGAGGTAATTAAAGCTCTCGACCTTTTCCAGCTGATCACCACAGAGAGTGAGTGCAGGCACATGCTCCTGCCAGTCTTGAACAAGAACATTGCATTTGGAAGGTGCAAAGCACATACCATATCTGGATACCT